TCCCTCTCCGTCTCTTCTCTCTCTCTCTCTCTCTCTCTCTCTCTCTCTCTCTCCTCTCTCTCTCTCTCTTCCTCTCTTCCTCTCTCTCTCTCTCTCTCTTCTCTCTCTTCTCTCTCTCTCTCTCTCTACTCTCTCTCTCTCTCTCTCTCTCTCTCTCTCTCTCTCTCTCGCCCTCGCTCTTTCCTGTTCATCTATATCTACATCACACACGGATGAGCTGAGATCCATTTCACGAACAAATGCCGAAAATGTGAATTAGCAATTAAACCTTTGTTTCCGGCGAGAAAGCCAAGCATCGAACCTTATCAAAACAGCGCACATCAACCGTGAAAAAGGCCAATAAAACAAGGTTCACTCCGAATAAGGCCAGAGGACGCCCCCCAGGCAACACCCCCCCCTGCAACCACGCAGCCACAGGGGGTGCAGAGCCCCCCCGAGCGCGACCCAGCCCTCCAGATCCGACCTATACACGACGATGCAAATGGATCTCGCGGCGGCCGTGCACTCCGGTCGTTAGGCGATCCGGCACCGCGCAGGCCGCTCTGCAGGTGGCGAGGGGGGAGGGGGGGAGGGGATTGAAGGTCGGGAAAAAACGAAAATCTCTAAAATATAAATAGATATGCATACATACCTGTGTGTATGTGTCTGTGTGTGTACACAGACGCACACGCACACACGTACACACACACACACACACACAAATACACACACAAACACACACACAAGCGCACACACACACACACACACACACGCACACACACACACACAGACATATATATATATATATATATATATATATATATATATATATATATATATATATATATATATATATATATATATATATATATATATATATATGTATGTATATATACATGTATTTTCTATGTGATACAAACACACACACACACACATACATAGATATATACATACACACACACACACACACACACACACACACACACACACACACACACACACACACACACACACACACACACACACACACACACACACACATATAATATATATATATATATATATATATATATATATATATATATATATATGTATATATATATATATATATATATATATATATATATATATATATATATATAAATATATACACTCAAATATCTAATGAACCGAGATTAAAAATGTAAAGGCGATGGAAAGGGAAAAGAAGAGTTGCGGGGGAGGGGAAGGTATAGAAAGTAAAAATACGTTTAGGAACGGGAGACTTTACGATGGAAAGAGGGAGAGAGGACGGAGGGAAGTAAGTTAGAAATTGGGAAGAGAAACAACTTTAGAATAAATAGACAAAAATAAATAAGTGGATAGACTTACGGTAGGTAAGTTACGTGGGGAAAATAAAATAATCTTTAAAGTAAATAACTAACATTGAAGCGACATAGAGCCAGTGATATCTGTCGGATAACTGAACAGAGAAGCCGATGGCGGGGGAACGGAGGGGTAGAAAAGGCAGATACATCTAAAATATACAAATATAAAATTACTTATTGTATCTATAAGAAAAATGGAAAAAGGTAGTTACAGAGGTTGTATTAACAGACAGTCCAAAGAGTTCAAAAACAGAGCAAAATAAGTATTAAACACCGTTAAACAGAACAGAAAAATGGAGATAAATGGAAATGAACTAATAAAAGAATAAATGAATATTCAGTTGAAAGATCTCAAAGATCTTCATGCTTTCTTGAAACGTGGCAAAGGGAACGCTTTGTTTGTGAAAATGCGCATTTAATTAACTCGGCGGAAAATCATCCCCCGATGGTACTGGGAAAAGCAACGGAAACACAAACGGAATTGAAAACAAACGAAAAAAGAAAGTACACATTTGTTATCAATGGCTCTGAGTGTGCTAAGAGAAACGAAATCCACGTGGCACTGGAACCTGAGGGATGATGGGGGGGGGGGGGATTCAAGGGGTCGAAGGGAGAAAAAAAGGCTGATACGAAACCGCAGAGAAAGAGTTGGGTCTTTCGCCGGGGATCGGAGCAAAGGATTTCCTGGGAACCATAGCTGCAAAGACTCGAGGAGGAGGGTCTCGGCACCATGTTTGCTGTTTGCTTATCATTAACGTTTACGTAAACAACAAAATGCAGTTTTTCCTTTACGGATGCAACGACGGATATATGCTACTGAGTTTCCGCCTCACTGCTGCTTGTTTACTGAACTCGTTTGGATTTGCTCTTAATCAACATCCACAGAAGCATTCGATCTCGGCCTCTATGTTTGCCCACGTTGTGTCCGACCGAATGCCTGACCTTTGCCTCGGACGCAAAACGATCAAAAATTCCTTCAACTCTGCCAAGATGCGGGAATATGTTACGGGCTGCTCTGAGTATATAGCGACATTAAACGGAAGTATAGATGCAAAAAAAAGAAGAAAAAATACTTTTAAGCTCAGACAAAGGTGACACACGGAGAGCCATGTTGCTTCATGTGCATTTTTGGTCAGCCTTTTTTTTCTAACAGAATGATTTCTGTTAACTTCAGGTCAACAGGGGTGCGTATGTGATCTTTGAACCGGGAAATTGAAGGGTAATGTAAGATTTCTCTTTCTCTCTTTCTCTTTTTTCAGGGGGAAAGACAAATGTTCTAAGCTTCGGATACCTGTTTATTTATTTTCTTCCCATTTTGTGTTTTGAGGTTTGGTTCCGCGTTAGGATTTAAAGCATTCTGATGTCTGTAAAGCTGTATGTGCATAGCGTTATATTGATTTACCTCCAGATCCTTATAAAAATGTTTTGTCAGCTCTCCTTATTGACGCGCATCGTTTAAAATTAAGGACCATTATATTAATCATCTCTGCCATTGACAATTGTCATCATCACTTTTTACACCGAATAATATCATCCCCTTTCCCATCACCTTCACCTTCTCTCAGCACCACCATTCCAAACTCACCAACACCCGCTCGCCAAACCACTCAACCAACTAAACCCCCAACCACCCCCCCCTTCTCCCCCACAGGCGCTGAGCCTTTCGGGCCATCCGCAACTTCGAGGTCCCCCTCCACGTGCCCCGAGGCGACCGGGCGGTCCTCAAGTGCGAGTTCGACCTCCAAGGCGAGCGCCTATACTCTGTCAAGTGGTACAAAGGGGGCAGGGAGTTCTTCCGCTACGTGCCCAACGAGAGGCCGATGAAGCAGTCCTACAACGTCACGGGATAGAGGTCGATGTGAGTACTAAGCACGCCCCTTGGGTCGTTGCGCCGATAGAAATTGTCTTTATATAAACACATTAACACCACATATTTTATTTGCACGGGCGTGTGTGAAGTGTTTATTATATGTATATACATATATATATATATATAAGTATACTATATATATAATATATATATATAATATATATATATGTATATAATATATATAAATAAAATACCTATATATATATAATATTATATATATATATAATATATTACAATATATATATTACATATATATATATATATATATTATATACTATATATAATATATATATTAATAAATATATATATATATTATATATGTGTGTGTGTGTGTGTGTGTGTGTGTGTGTGTGTGTGTTGTGTGTGTATCATATAATATATTATATAATATATATATTATATATATATATATATTTACTATATATTATATATATATTTATATATATACACTATTAATATATACTCATATATATATACTATAATATTTATATATTATTATAGTATATACTAATATATATGTATATATATATACAATCTATATATTCATATCGTATATATGATATCTTATATAGCCCTATCACTGACTATACGTTATACCCTCATATACTCTTTCATCGCCCGCCGACCTACCTTTCAGATGTGCCCACCTTGAACCGTTCGCCTAAACCGCCAGCCCGTTACCGTCACATTTCGGCCGCTACATGAGTACGTACTCCTCAACTATATCACACCTCCGTCAGGTACGCATCGTAATACCGCCTCACTCCTTCTTATAGTAACCTCCATCACTACCTATATATTATCGTCGGTTATACCTACTACTATGTACTATACCCTTATAGCACCAAGCCCTACACTATATCCGCATATATATACTATCATATCATATATACGTTACTAACTATACCTATAATACCTTCCTATTATTTATGTTACCTATATATAATATATTATGAATAGTATATATCATACCTACTCCGATGTCGTACCAGTCCACTCTCTCTTATGATATATATGGAGCTACTTCTAAGAGTCATGAAACGTTTCGTGTGATGTTATACTACCGTATATACTAGTATATATTATAGTCTACTAACTCCAGTGCAACCCAGTGATTCAATCCGTAATAATATAACTAGCTCTCAGAAAAGGAGCATCTATGAAATAATACGTGAATATGCAACGGCCAACTTACTCTCTAATACAATATCGGATAATATATCCTCCCCATACCTTGCGCTGACCTCACCGAGGTCACGTTTTGTACTATATAGTACTATTATCATATATACTTATATATATATATATATATATATACTACAGTTATATATATGTTATACATCATATATATTATATATATATATATATATATATATATACTTATATATATATATCATGTGTCGTGTGTATTATCACTGCATATATATATATATATATATATATAATATATATATATATAATACTATATTATATGTATATATATATACCTATATACTATATATATATATATATATATTATATAATATATATATATATATATATATTATATACATATATATTTATATATATACATATATATATATATATATATATATATATTATAATATATATATATATAGTAGTACCTATAGTTATATATAAACACAAATGCCACAAACACATTGAGCCCTAGATTACCGATTAGAACAGTGTGGTATATTTTATTTTATTGTTTGTGTGTGTGTGTTTTAACGCAGCATGTATGTATAATTCAGCATAGTACAAAGATATCACGCCCCTCTTTGTCTAATAACTGCTGCTTGGGAATTACCATAGCTTGATAATGCCTTCCCAACTTATGGTGTTCATTAGATGCTGAGTGCGAGCTCTGACAAATCAATCCAATTTAGTGGAATAACAATGGGTTGGTTCGTTTTACCTTCGGGCTTTATTCCCGTTACTGTAATTCCCCCTGAGTACAGCCAATTCCAAATGGTGTCCGTGATTCTGCTCATCATAATTTTATTAAAAAATATTAATACTGGATCTCTGAGCTTCAGGGCATGAGAGATAGCAAGAAGCTAAAGTGACAGAAAGACCGGCACAGGAGACACAGAGAACGGAGAGACAGAAATGTAGACAGGGCAGACAGGGACAGATAGAGACACCGACAATGAGAGAAGAGACGCGGGGGGGGGGCGAAGAAAGGAAAGAGAGAGAAAGAGAGAGAGACGAGGAGAGACGAGTCGGCCACGATTGACCGGAGGGGGGGGGATGATAAGAGAAAAGAGATGATTCGAGAGAGAGAGACGGAGACAGAGACAGAGAGAGACAGACAGAGAGAGAGACAGACAGACAGAACATGAGACGAGAGAGAGAGCAGAGACCGAGATGTGAGAGAGAGATAGATAGATCCGATAGAGAGAAACAAAAAGAAATGATCATTGCCTTATTACCACAACCCCAGATGAGCTTAGAGCGAATGGCTTTCCCCACTGGTACTCGAATTCGTTTTCCGGAATTACATACTATCGTTCATCAAAACCCTGTACTCCAGGCTGCTCTAAATCTCCGCAACAGCCATAATGATCCCAAAGTTTATTGCCCTTTGGTTTATTATATGACAGACGGTATCATAACCCTGTAATGGGATTCCTTTTCCGCTGACTCTTGGGGGAAAATTGCGTCAGGCAGCATATTGAGCACCGCGGGGGGTACTGGATCCAAGGGATTCTGATCTTGATATTGGCTTCATTTCGCTTGGTATCTATACTTGCTTGTGTATTTACAGGTTTGCTTTAGTTCATTATTCTTGGGGTTTGGGGTTTGACGTTACATTGAAGATGAACAAGAAAAAAGAAAAAAAAAAGAAAAAAAGAAAAGCATAACGAAAAGAAAATCGAAAAGAAAAAGCACATGAAAAAGACAAGTTGAAACAGAAAACGAAAAGAAAAGACCTAAAAAAAACTAGACTATACTTACTATACTAGCTACTATAAATATACATGACCTCCTACCAATATACATATACTATATATATATATCACTATATATATAATATTATAATTATACTAACTACTATATATATATAAGTATATGTATATATAATTATTACATACCTATAGTATCTACTATATATATTAATACTATACCTACCTATTAATACTATAATAGTATACTCATACTATACTATAGTCTATATATACACTACTAGTACTATCATCTATATATAAATATATATATATACTAACTACTATATATATATATTATACTATATATATTATATGGGGTGTGGGTATGTATATATATATATAGCTTATATTATCTATACATATATATTATATATACTATTACCTATACCTCACTATATATATATTTATATTATACAATGTGTGTGGTGTCTGTGTGTTGGTTTACGTATTACCTATATATATACTAATTATAACTCATATATATAACTCACCCGTATATACCTACTATAGCTATATATACTAACTATACTATACTACTATATATCATTTTTTCGCATGATAATATATATATACTGTATATATATATATATATATATATATATATATATACCTACTGTATATTATGTATACTATATATATATACCTTCTCACTATTACCTCACGACTATATATCCCCCGTTCTTTGCCTCTAATGGACGATCAGTGCCGTTACGTCGAGCGAACTCGGGGAGGGCCTCAAGAGGCGGCTTGCTCTCGCTCAGAGGTCGAGAAGACCTCCGGAGCGCAGCGGCACCATCCAGGTTTACGGTGGCCTAACCTGTTACTGGCCAGGCCGCAGCGATGTCTTCAGGGTCCGTAGTCATGCTCTGTCTCCGAGTTGGGCTCCGCCTCGGTGGTACAGGGCACCCAGTCGGAACGAGCGTATAATGGAATGGAGACTGTAGCGAGGGCGTTTGGCTTCGTGCCTCTTCTTATTGCTGTATTTGCTCCTACCGATGTTTGTAAACTCTGATACCTTCAAAAGGAGTGTTGCTCGGCGCGCGATATAATATAGCCAACTCGTCTATTATGTGACGGCTTTACTGCCTCACCCCCTATAGCTTCTATATATACCCTATTAGTATAGTAGCCTCCATACTCCATATATACTATATACTCTCCACCCTAGTCATATATACCGTCACCTATATATATATATACAATATATACACACACACAACACACCCACACATACACACACACACACACACCCATCCATACATAGATACTATCTACCAAAACACACATCTACCAACCGAGCGCCCTCGCGAGCCCACAACACACACACACACCAGCCACACCAGTACTACGCGTTCATCTATACCTCAACCCAGTATACTCGTGTCAGTTATACCTCAGCCAGTGGACATGATGGGTCTCTCCCTCCTTGTATTAGTGGAGATAAGTGGAGGGCTCTGGGTGTTTACATGTGTGTCTGAGTTGCCTTAGTGTGTGATATTGACAGCATAATTATGTAACATAGTATGTATTAAACGATAAATTACACGTGATTTTGTTGTTGGAAAAAGGATTACAATACATACGCATTAGCTGACGCCCTGGAACAATACGTTCGTCTTTGGAATATCCTGAGCTCCCAGTGTGTTCCCTGGATTTACTTTTATTGAGCAGTCCCCTTGCAAACTAATCACGCGCACTCATTTTCCTTATTCTATACCCTTAACGGTTGTTTGTGTATTTTACCTATTCACTCTTATGAAAAGAAAAGAAGGCGGGATTTTATTCCTTTCTGATACGGTAGGATATTCCTGGTTGCACCACGAAAGCAAATTTCCCCCTTTTTTAGAGAATGGAAAAGAAATGTGAATCTAAGTACCTCATGTTAAACTATCCATCCCACACCTCTTGCTTTCACCGTATTCTCCTTCTACTCTAACTTTCTCCTCTCTCCTCTTCTCCTCCATTCCCCCTCCTCCTCCTCTCCCCCTCCCCTTCTTCCTCCTCCTCTTACCCC